GAATGTATTAACAAAATAAAAAAATGTAATTAAATAAGTTAATGATTCAAAATATAAATATAAAATTTATTTTTTAGTAATTGATTTTATTAAAATGACTTTTTAATGGGTTACAAAATATGTTATGTCACATCGTGTTTAATCTAATTTAATCGATAAATTTGTTAATCGTGTAGTATTATATATATTTAATAAATATATTTATATATATATTTAAATATTTAATTTGTTTATTCAATTATCATATTAATATTTACCTATATAAGTATTAATATTTTTTCCTAACATGACAATCAAAACAAGTAAATGTGATTTTTTAAATCTATTTTTTTTATAAAAAATGATATTTTTTAATATTTTTATAAATTTTAAAAAATATTTATTATTTTATATTTTTAAAAATATTTAACATTACATTTTAATAAAAGTCATTTTAAATTACAATAATTTGTAAATAAATATTACCTAATAATTTGTCCCTATTAATCATAAATCCTGGATCCGTTCTTGTTAACGTAGACAACCCGTCTAGAATTCATTAAAAAATGTTCAAATAAAATTATCGTCAGGCAAGTTCAACCAACCTTGATTTTTGACGAAGTCATTTGGTTAGAATTTGAGAAGAATTTTGAGCACCTGGCTTTGCATTTTTTATTATTATAGATAGATGTACCAAACTTAAACGAATGAATATGAAACCCCCTAAAAATAAGAACAGCAAAGAACAAAAAAAAAAAAAAAAGTAAGGGAAAGAAAAATGAAAAAGCTAGGGGGGGTCTGTGGACGCACGTGTCTCACAGCTGCGGAACTATTGGTTTCTGCCTGATTTTCAAACACGCGTGAGGAAGCTGTTGTTGGTGGGTTGCATCATGTAGACAAGCTAGGAAGGAAAGGAAGGATCCTGAATCTTGACTTGAATGACTTAAGTCAAATTGATTGTACAAGGATTGGATGATAAATGAAAAGAAAACAACATGATAACAGCCTTTGAACTACATTTTCAGGTATTAATTCTGAGCATATATGTTAAGGAAACATAACATTAATTTTCATTAATTTAAGCTCTTTAATAAGTGAAAGTAACCTGAAAATGAAGAATTTGCCCTTTCTATTCCGTAGAAGATTAATGATTCTTGGTTTTGTTCCTTTGCTTTTTATGAAATTTTGAACCAGTAAATATGTTCTTTGAATTACAGTCCACATGATTGTATTGTGAGCTTGCGCCCACTTCAAACGTAAGCAACTTTCCTCTGCATCCATTTGTTTGCTTTTTGCTTTTTAAGAAGAGTAAATAAAGGGCAGCACCCAAAGCTAGAAGCTACAGCCTGCAAGTCTACAGCATCCAAAAACAAATTGCCTCCCTCTTTCTTTGTCCGTTTTGAGTTGAACCCACCAATACTGAGTCCTGTTCATATATCTCTATCTTCATGTTTTCCTGAAAATTTATTACCAGTAATGGTAAAAGGTATTGTTGTTTGAAAAAGAAACAAGGATGAAGAAGCTTCTGCCTCTGCTTCTTTTCCTTGTTTCACTTGTTTCCATTCATGAAACTAGTATTATTGTTCTTGCCATGCAAAGGCCCTCTTGTTTCCTTCGTATCCCCTGTTTCGTCACCCATTTCTAGTACTATCTCTGCTTCAAAGACTGCCTTCTTCTCTCCAGGTAGTACTACTTCCTCATTTTTAGTCTTTTTTTTTCTTCTGCAAGTGCCTATTGCCTTTATTTTTTACTCTGTTATTGTTAACTAGTGGACGCAAAGTGCTTGTTTTTCTCGATTGACTAGTGGCAATTCTGGTTAGACTTAAGACTCTGATCCCAGTTAATACACAATCTTTTTTATTTTTAAAATTTATTTGTAGTGATGAAGACGTTCCCCTTTTTATCTCTCGGTTTAATTCTCAATTTACTTTATTTCTTCAGATTTCTAAAAGCTGAAAGCTTTTTTCTTGGAGGAAGTTTCTTTTGTTCTGCTAAAAAAAGGTTGTACTTTTAACTCCATAAAGTGGTTAACGATCAGCAGGGATTCAACTTGAAAGTGAGGAGCACAAAGAAATGGATCCACCCAAGAAAATGTTAATATCTCTCATTCTAGCTTGCTCTTCCTTGGGTGCAATTATCTCTTCGTTGTTTTGTTTATGGATTTATTACAGGAAGAATTCAAACAAATCCACCAAAAATGATGCTAAAAGCTCAGGTATCTTCTTTTGAGCCAAAACCCACTTTAGTTTTTCTTCGTAGTTCTGGAATTTTGAGAGTCGGCTTTAAAAGCTGATGTTCTTTTTTTCTCTGTTTCCGCTCCTTTTTGTGGTTTTAAATTTGAAGACGCCGAAAGAGGGACTGGTTTGGCACCATTTTTTGGTAAATTCAAGTCTATGAGGACGGCGGTTTCCAAGGAGGGTTATGCTTCGTTTATGGATTATAAGATACTTGAAAAAGCTACAAACAAGTTTCATCGAGGTAATATTTTGGGTGAGGGTGGATTTGGATGTGTTTACAAGGCTCAATTCGATGATGGTTCTTTTGCTGCTGTTAAGAAGTTGGAATGTGCAAGCCAGGATGTAGAAAAAGAATTTCAGGTATTATTTCTGCTGGAAATTTCCTTTTTAAATGTGATCAGTTCCTTTTATATGTTTTTTAGGATTTCAATTTTGATTTTGAGTTATTGTTCGGAATTGCAGAATGAGGTGGATTTGTTATGTAAATTTAAGCATCCGAATATAATTTCACTGTTGGGTTTTAGCTGTGACAATCAGACAAGGTTTATTGTGTATGAATTGATGCAAAATGATTCTTTGGAAACTCAACTACATGGTAAGAGCTTTCTCTCATAAAGATAAATTCTCTGGTAATGAAGGGTATTAATTTTGTTTCTGGAATTTTTGAATTCTATTTCAGGACCTTCTCATGGATCGTCCTTAACTTGGCATAGGCGGATAAAAATCGCTCTTGATACAGCAAGGTGAGGTTTTGTTTGATTTTACTTGTTGCTATTAGTTAATGAATATTAAATAAATCTCAATTGTTGACCAGAGGATTAGAATATCTGCATGAGCATTGCAATCCACCAGTCATCCATAGAGATCTGAAATCATCTAATATACTTTTGGATTCAGAGTTCAATGCAAAGGTAAATTATTAGACCTGCTACTTTTTCGTTAGTATCAGAAACTTTTAGTGTTTTGTATCATTGCTGCGATACATTTTTAATATCTTCTGTTAATAAATCTATTGATGCTCACTTTCTTTCATTTTGTGTGGATACAGCTTTCAGATTTTGGTCTTGCAGTATCTGATGCAGCCCAGAACAAGAACAATTTGAAGCTTTCGGGCACTTTAGGTTATGTTGCTCCAGAATACCTTTTAGATGGTATGTCGCACCATTAATTCTGATAGGTTGTTATTCATATTATTCTATAATTTCTATTGCTTTTTTAGGTGATTGGATTTGACAAAAAAGTTCTCATGGATCCTAGAGAGTTCATTTTGTTTGTACATGTTTTGATCTCAATAAATATATGCTGTCACCAGAAGGCATCTGGACTAATTACGCTATTCTCTTTTATTTTGAAGTTGCCTTCACACGAGTGTAAATGATTTAGTTGTCATCTTAAGAGAGAGAAAAGGTCCAATGTATGAATTTTATGAGATGTTCTGCAATTTTTCTGAAACCCAGGCCTGCAAATGGCACATTAGAAGCATTCTTTTCACTTTCGGTTTTTAATCTGCTCGATGAAACTGAGGCCTGCATGTGTTGTCTGTTTTTCTAGGTAAATTAACAGATAAGAGTGATGTCTATGCATTTGGTGTCGTGCTGCTGGAACTATTGTTGGGAAGAAAGCCTGTAGAAAAAGTGGCACTGGCTCAATGCCAATCTATTGTCACATGGGTAAGCTTTGCTCTTCTGTTATTTCATGTAAAAAAAGATAGAATGTTTGAAAATTTAATGCCATAACATTTTATGAATGCAGGCCATGCCTCATCTTACTGACAAATCTAAGCTCCCATACATCGTGGATCCTGTGATAAGAAATACTATGGATCTGAAACACTTGTATCAGGTTGATAAGCTACTTAATGACAACCACTATAGTGCCATTACTTACTCCGTTGGCAACTTGACTTGATTTTAATTCCAAATTGACTTGCAAGGAGCCAATCGGTCTTTGTTTAGTGCAAGGTTCAAGGAAATATTTTCTTTTCCTAATAAAATTTGTCTACACTTTCTATCATAGAAGTCTCACTGGTAGATTAGGTAAGAATGAACGAACTGAAAACCCAATTATTCACTTTTAGAAACTGATGATTTGTTTTGCATAATTTGACTAAATTCCTTATATAAAATGAAGGTTCATGAGTATGCAACCGCTTAGAAATATTACCATTATCCATTGTTCTTGTTAGGCTTGACTATGGATGTCTTTAGTACGAACTATTGCCCACCAACCTAAGGAGGAGGAAATTGTAGTAGCATTTGGGCACTGGAAGTGCAGATTTGCTTGCCTACGCTAATTTTTGTTCTTTCATAATTGCAAAGTGGAATTGTGATATGCAGGTTGCTGCGGTAGCTGTGCTATGCGTGCAACCCGAACCAAGCTATCGTCCATTGATAACTGATGTTCTCCACTCGCTTATCCCTCTTGTCCCCATGGAGCTTGGAGGGACTCTCAGAGTCACACACCCTGCTGCACCTTGAACCTACAGACTACCTCGAGGGCCGTGACATGTCTCAAAATCAAGATCCTACTTGCGTTGCTGACAAATTGCCATGTGATTGTGGTTTTTGCATCAATTAAATCATCGATCCACATCAGTTTCATTGCCAATTATATGAAAAGGAGTATAAAACTTTTTGATTGTTCATATCATTTCTAAATTGCACTGTACTTGAGGTGCTTTACACTTGTTTAATGAGAAATCACTTTTGCTTTCATTCTCTTTTCCAAATCGGTTTAAACGAACCCAAGTTACGATTTCTAATAACAATTAAAGCAAAACTTGAATTTAAAAGAAAGAAACTGGGCACTTAATTTCAATACAAAACCATAAGCTCTGTATCATCATTGTCTTAACAGCAACCAAATAGCCTAAAAGACCGACAAAACAACAACCAAGAACTTCAAAATCCAAGCTTCGTACGACGCCAGTGCCTGCGCTTTGCATTATACCTGCAAAAAAATAAAGGTTAACATAATTAAAAACTAAAAAAAAAGGAAAATTACAAAGAGATTTAAAAAGAAAAAGAAAGGAAACCTGATGGTATTGTCGGTGCGCATCCGAATCCAATGGGGGATGGGCCTATTTTGCCTCATCTTCTTGGCGAGTTTCTTCTTTATTATGAAAGTCTTGTGCGACGGCTGTTCAATTTCATTTATCAAATCAAAATCAGATTATTTCATTGAATTGATTTCAACACAATCAAATAAAATGTTTCAGTTAGTAAATTAACTCATAAATTTCTCGACGGAAAAAGAAAGCCAAGAAAAGTGAGTACCATTTTGGGGTCTTTCGATCGGCTGCTGCAACGTTCGCTTTGTTTGAACCGAGAAGCCAAAAACCCCAATTTTGAAGAATAGAAAACCCTAAGGGAGATGGAAGCGGAAATGTTCCCTTTTTTAATAGGAACAGGAAGAGACCGGGTTTAACCACCATTTGGGTCGGTTGAATTTGGGCCGCTACTAGTCTCAAAACCGAATATTAACATATTTCCTTGGTTAATTTTCCTTTTTTTTTTTTTTATAAATAAATAAATATAATGAAAGAATTTCTTGAAATTTTCATAAACGATATATAAAAATAATAGTTCATAAATTATTAATTTATTTTAAAAATATTTTCCCAATTCCAATAGAAAATTACTCTTAGCAACAGGCCCAAGAAAAATACAAATGGACCTCAAAACTGATTGGAATGAGAAAATTTAAAAGGCCGAATTAGATATTGGGGAGAGTGATTGGGGCAGATTCTAAAAAATGGGCTTGAAGTGGATTTCTCAAAAGGCCGTTAGAAAGTGGCTGGTTGACGGATGCTCAAGACTAATGATTAGAGTATATTTATATTGTTCAAAGTATTAAAATTTATTCATTTATATTGTATTTTATATAAAAAATATTGTTATAACTTATATTGATATGCAAATATAAAATACATTTATCTGATTTTATTAAATTTATATATAATTATTATTAAAATTTTAAATTATTTTATTTTTATGTTTACTTTTAATATTATATTTATATCATATTTTATATTGTCAAATCTAATCACGATGAACTCATTAAGAATGTATTGAGTTTGCCATAAAAACTTTGATTTTCTTATCATTGAATCATTGAAGAAGCTAAAAAATTACAATAAAAATGTTTGATTCGTATTTTCCGGAGAAACCCAACAATTTTTTCAATTAAAAAAAAAAAAAAAGAAACCAAGCACATGGACTGACCAATTCTCTAATTGTATACAAGGAAGATGTCAAACTGCAGCATATGAACTAATGTCAAAGTCGCAACATATGAACTACTTTTTTGTTTTTTAAATCCAATCATAAATTAATCTAGCACTGTTGAAGGGTTTAGTAAACATGTGCTTGAGCCTGACCAAAATTTTCGGACCCATTTAGGAGTTATACTTTTTTAATTTAATTTTTTATATATATCATTGGGTTAATTGACTGTTTAGACTACAGACTACAACAAGACACACCTTACTAATATATTTCATTTTGGATTTTCAATTATCGTTTTGGGTTTTTTAAAACTTACCCTCTTCTCCTTTTTTTGGCCAAAGCTTACTTTCTTTTTTTTAGAACTTGTATAATTAATTGAATTTTTTTGTCATTCAAATTTTTAAAAAATTAATAATATATATATGATGGTGAATAAATGAAAGACGTAAAACAAATTAAATAAGAATATATCTATGTGTTGATTTTAAAAGTTGATTTGAGACGTCAAATGAATTTATTTTTAAATTTTGAAATTACATGAATTAAAGTTTGAATCTCAACTCATGACACACGTACACGAAGATTTAAAGATTTGAAGGTATATTTTTCATGTCAATACTAATAGTTCTATCACATGATCACCTTCCCAAAAAATCTTCCCCCTTAATTTTTTCTTCTTAACTGATGAAACCGCGTAGGCTAATAAAGTCCGTTTTAAGTAGTCAATAGCAAAAAATAAAAAAAGAAAAAAGAGAGAGAGAGACAGAGAGACCCGAAACTTTGAATTTTTCATCCATAGCTGTGAGCATATTTAGCTAAATGTCATTCTACAAAATAAATAATTAAACACGTATGTCTTTTTCTCCAATATTAGTATTGGTTGGAGAGTAATACTACTATATTTTTACATTTTAATGCTACATAGTTATGCGTTTTACTTGAAATTCGCACGGAAGAATATAGAGAGAGTAGCATTATTTTTCCGGTTTGATAAATTTATATATAGACAGATCGATTTAATCTTCAAATCAAGATAAAATGTAATATATTTCATAAAAATTATGCAATCGAGATTAATGCTAACAAAAAAAAATTATTTATAAGATTCGAAATGTTAAAATTATTTATTTTGGAGATGAAAGAATTTATTGGTTAATATTAGTCTCTCTTAGTAATTTGGTTAAAGTCTTTCCCGCATGCGTGACTACCATTCTCTCTTTTCCATATTTGTAGCAGATCCCCCGAGTGATCTCGCGGCGAAGGATCGTCCTTTAACTACCTTTCTTTACAGGGGACAAACCGCTAACTGAAGCCATTGAAGCAAACTTTTTGACCAAGAAAAACATTCGAAAAGAAAAACTGTTTGTGTGTATATATAAGAGGCAGCAAAAATGAAAATAAGCCTTCCACCTCTTGGCTCAGTGGCCAAGAAGAGTATTTGAAGAAGGTACGTGGGCGTGGATTCTAATCTAGCCACCCCGCTTCTTCGTGTAAGGGCTTTGCCCTCCTTTGAACCAAAAAAAAAAGAAAATAAGACTATGATGCAAAGAATTAATGTTTGTAATTGATGGAGATATTCCATTTTCTTAAACCAACACTTTCTCAATCTAATTCTTAATATTTCTTCAATGGGCTGTGCGTGCATGTGAGGTTGTACGATTTGAAGGGAAAGAACCGCGTTGTTTTCCTGGGGGCTGACTGCTGTGCCTGAGCCTAAGCCTTTGAAACCTTGACAAGAAAATTTTTTTTTTTTTTTACATTTAATTGGCTATAAGGAAAGGACATCATTCATCACCCATGTTATGTTTGGGTCCCATCTAACGCGTTTGTAATTTGGGTCCTCTTTTCTGGATTTTTTTTCATCTGTCTTAATCCATATAGGCATAGCTCATTTCATTTTTTGACTTCTCTTTCATAGAATTATATTATGTCAGTCGAAGGTTAGCTGTAAACCAAGAGAGAGACCAACTTTTTAAATGTTTTTCTATCCAATTACATTCCGTTTGCTGCTGTGTTGTCCTCTTGTTTCTATCCATGAAAGAACATCCAACGGTCACTATATGCTTTTTGAAAAATTGTAAGTTATACTGATACTAAGTAAGAGGGTTAATCAATGCGTTAAACTGGTAGTTTGCCAAAAAAAAAAAACCCATAAAATAACGAAAAAGTGGAGTAGAGTTACCAACATTTGCTCAAGAAATGAAATAAAGAAAGAAAACAAAAAAGCTACATGTTGTGTCTTTTTGTGTCATGTGGATTCATTCCTAAGACAAGGAAGTAAAAGAGTCAGTAATAGCAGCTGAGAAAGAAGCCACTCAAGGAATGCTGTTTGCGACTCTCTCACCCTACCTTTTCACTTGGCATGTTGGCACGCATTAGCAAGCTTTTTCATTATAGCCACACAAAAGATAAAATTTTCTGGAGGCTTTTTTACTGATACACAGATCAGAATGTTTCTAAATTAATGTATATTTGATTTTCATGAGCATGGAGAGGTATATATTCCACTTGTAAAGTAGCCCACCTGATTTTTGAAGAAATTTCTGTCTTCCTCTGTTGAATCATCGCCCTTCTTTTCTTAATTGTTAATCAGTGATGTTATGTGAAGGATTAAAATAGAAAGCCCTTTGAGTTATGCCTGAGAGATCAGGTGATGGTCAGTCTTGAGGCAATTGATCTGATAAACAGTGAAAGGGATTTGATCAAATCATTTGGATTGGTATGATAATTATTGCGGTCCAAGATTCTTTAATCGATGTATCCAACATAGGATTGACTCAATCATTCCAGTGCAAAATGATGCACAGAATCTTTCCTCGAGGAACAATTTGCTTTGATAGTAGCATACAAAACAATCTGTTCAAACTTCTACATCAACAGGTTCCAACAAACATATTAAAACAAAAGATTTTAAAAGTTTTTCATTACCAAATTGCCAAATAAAAATGATTTTGTGATATGTTCAAAGATTTTTATGGTTCAAAAGAACATATAACCATGTGAATTGAATTTGGCTGGTTTGAAATTTCCCTTGATAACCTATTAATTCAACAATCATCACTTGGCAATTAGCCAACTGTAACTAAATAGATAAAGAAAAAAGATGGAACACACTTGAACCCTTTGTGGGACCCAACTATTTTGTCAAGTTGGATGACAGTTAATCGCCTTATATGTGTATCAACTACAAAAAGCCCCTCCAGCTCTCCTCTTCCCTCCCTAGCATCACTCTGTCGCCTCATTCGCTCATTTGGGCATTTTCACAAACACTTTTTCAAAAGAAACGTTTCTTTTTTACTTACATGGCCAGACCACAACAACGATATCGAGGTGTCCGACAAAGGCACTGGGGTTCTTGGGTGTCTGAAATTCGCCACCCTCTGTTGTAAGTTCACCTTGGTTTCAAAAACCATGAACATTTCAGCCTTTCTGGCATGTTTCTTTATTCCTTGTGAGTTCTAAATGAAAACGCTTCGTTGGTGCAGGAAGACTAGAATTTGGCTAGGAACATTTGAAACGGCAGAAGATGCAGCTCGCGCCTACGATGAAGCTGCAAGGCTTATGTGTGGACCAAGGGCCAGAACCAACTTCCCTTACAATCCGAATGCACCTCAATCATCATCATCCAAGCTTCTCTCGGCAACTTTGACTGCTAAACTACACAAATGCTACATGGCTTCACTTCAAATGACCAAACAACAATCAGAGCACGAGCACCAAAACAAGGCACCAACTCCACATGTTATCAGGAACAACAGCATTGCAGGAAGAGACAGTGGAATGGGAGTTCGACTGCTGGAAAAGAGACCATTTCCAGTTCAAGAGACCGAACCCAATTGGGTTGTCAAGAAAGCTCAAATTGAAAGCACCCAGCAGTTTAAACCTCTCGAAGAGGATCACATTGAACAAATGATTGAGGAACTGCTTGACTATGGCTCCATTGAACTATGCAATGTCTAGACCCTATGATGTCAAACACCATCCTTTCTTTTTTTCTCTATATTTCTTCCCTTTTCTCTTGTTCACCAGTCATTGAAAACGTTGGGCCGAGGCATGCTAACTCTGTTACCAAGTCTCAAAGCAAACACAGCCTAGAGGAGTTAAGGCTGGCAGGTCTTTACATTTTCTCCCATGCTAATGGCACGGATCGTTAATTTAACCCATTCTTCGCAACCTTCCCACATACTATTTTCCAAGTGTTCTAGACCCTCTCTTTAGGTCCTAGTGTCTACCAGGTGACCCCATTTGATGATGCTTAATGTACGGCAAGCTCTGTTATGATATATGTTACTATGATATTATCATCTGCTTTGTCTCTTTCTTTTGTTGATTCGGAGGATCAATTCTAGGAATTGCCATTTTCACTCTTCTGATTTTCAAGGTTGCCAAGTCTTGCATAATAAATTACTTGCATTGCCATATTGTCAAAAGTCAAATGGACTATCTAGCTGTCTAGAATTAGGCAAAGTCATGTTTGTCCTTTTCAAAGCAGCAATTCAACCATAATCATTTTATTAGTTTCAAAGTCTTCACGCCAAATTATCGAGCTACAAGCCTATGACAACATATCCTACAAATATTAATCACTATCACGGGGATTTGGGTGATCCTCGGATCAATTTTTAGTAATTTTCTTATTTCTTAAACAAGTTTTATAATTCATTATTCACTGGTTTCAGTATAATTACAGAAACATCTCTGGCTTTATTCTCTAGCTATTTTGGCATTAGTCTTTTGGAGTTGGTGAGCCTACTCATGTAGAGTTAGAACTTGGAAGTTGGAAGAAACTTGATCATGAAAAGAACATTAACGATAGGGAACAAGGCCTAGAAAACTTATGAAGGGCAGATGCTTCTTTTTGCCACAGTTGATAGGAAATAATCGTAGCCAAGAATTTAAACAGGGTGAATGTCTTATGGACATTTTCATAATGAAATTGAATTCAGGGCGCTTCTTTTGGATTTCATAGATATAGTTCTAATAAAAAGGAATGGGAAAAAATGGGTTAATTTGATTATCACTCGCAACCATTTTAACCAAAGACTCTTTATAGTTCTTCTAATGCTTGCCAAAGCAAAAAAGGCAAAAGCAATTCATTTACCAAAAAAAAAAAAGGTTAATTTGTTCAGATTCCTTTGTGATGGATCACGGATGGTATGAAAAATGACATATCTTTGTTCAATTGTTTGGTTTGAAAGGGTATTTTAGGCTCCTTTTCAACCAAGCGCAGGCCTTTGGTTGGGAATTGCCGCTGATAAAGATTAAAGAAAAGGGACACTGACTGTGATTGAGTGGGTGTTCCAATGATTTTATTAGGCTCATCTTTCCTCTCCTATTCTCTCTCTGCTCATTTTCAGGTCAATAAGGCATGTTAATTATCTTATGCTTTATGATCATCGGACATAGTTTTGGTGCCTGTCAAGCCAAAACCACACTTACCAAGACAAGACAAGCAATTCTTTTCTATTCACTCCCCACACTTTCTACGTTAAGGAAGCTGGCAAGGACTTGCCTGCATTATTCAAACAGTATAGCTAAAAATAGCAGTATTGAGTAGTCACTTTCTAAATTGGGCAAGTAAACTATTTATAACAACCCCATGAATGAGCAAACTAGAGCATCTTAGGATATACATCTTACCTTCGCTAATTAAAACATTAATTAAACATCTTGATTAGCTAAAATGCTTGTGCTCTGAAAACAACTTGCCCTTTTTACAAATAATATAAAGTGTCTGCAAGGATTAAGAGCAAGAGATTTTGGTAACTTTGACCTGTCTGTTATAGTTTTCTAGTCACTTCGGTTCATTTCGATTTTCCTCTTATGAGCAGCTTTCCTTTCAGAATATGGCTGAGAATTCACTTAAGTCAAATTCATTTCATAGTCGATCTGGATCTTCTTTCAGTAAACAGCATAATTGGCAGCACCTTCATGGCCCAATAGCTATTATCTAACACAGATAAACCATTTTTAGGTAAAGAAGATGTTACAGGCCTTATTAACCTTTATCCTTTCAGTTGATTTAATTTTCTTTAATTGATAGTCTTGGCTTGTAAGTGCTCTACTTGTTTTCAGGCCTTCTTACCTGGTTTTATACTTCTGTAGCAGGATTCCCCTGTTTCTTTGGGTAAATAGATAGAAAATTTTACTTCATCCAAAGACAAAATCCTATGCAAAAAGTTTGAAGAACAATTTAACATCTTGTCCACAATTAATTTGCATGTATGGTTTATGTAACTAACCTTGTACAAGAATCTAAAGTATTAAAATTAATGCTTTTGCTTTTTGATGTCCAGTCTCTATCAATGGAACTTCATGATGGTTCACCTGTTTGGAAATTGATTTTGTTCCCCACAAACATAAAAAAAAAAAAAAGTTGGTTTACTCTCATTATATTGTTTTACTTTTGATTCAGCAAAGGTGATTAAATGATGAGGTGTTAGTGAGTTTACCATCATTAATAGTTTGAACTTTTGTCACCTTTGGCCTCCTGATATTTAACCTGACCTACCACTTCCAAGAAACATGCTACAACTCCAATTACAGCTATGGCCTGCTATAATGATTTTAAATATAATCGTTGGTAACTGCTATTGCACTTTGTTATGAACTGATCAATTGCCTGATAAATTTGCGAAATTGACACTTTTTGGGTCTTCACTTGCCATAACTATTAAGATTTTCCATTATTGGCTTTCAAAAAGAATCATGTTCGGTGTTTCTATATCCCTTAAAAGGGGTGGAGTACCCTTAAGTTCACATACCTTGATTAGAAACAGTACCAAGTCTTTGCTTTTTAGGTTTATCTACCAGATAATTATAGCAAAAAAGAAAACAAAAATCAAGAAGAGCTCCAAGAATTGTTCCACATACATATATCCATCAATGCATGATCATTCAAGTCAAAGGAGCCTTAAATTATTGGGTAATTTTGGCTCTTGTGGACAACTAATCAAATGATTTCCATATGGTATCTCAGCTGTTACTCCTTGATTTCTCAATCATATCTTAAAGTCTAATAACAGTTTGCTCTTTGTTCTTTGGAACATATTACATGTATGATTAGCACCAATTAAACGACAAATGCCATGGTAATTGTTCATGGTCACAAAAGCGAAACCTGTTTGAAATTTGAACTTGTCACGAGGTGGTACTGTCTTGAATCAACTAAGAATGGAGAAAATGTTGAGACAGTTTTACCAGATGGCACTGTTGTAAGATTTCTAATCAAAGAGTTGATGCTAATTGGGCCTGTTGGTGATTGATTGTGAAAATCAAGTTCAGAGTTGAAAATAACAGAGTTTGTCTGGTCCAAGTTGGAGTACACCTTATGATCAACCTAGTAAAAAACTTTAGTACCATTTTTTGTCGTACAAACTCTCATGGTAAAAGGGTTCCCTTGAATTGCGCACCTTAGTGAAAAAGAGGGAAAACTCAAGAGTCAAGATGAGATCTTCCTCAGAAGAAAAGTAGTCAAAACCAATCATGTTGTATAGAGTCTCACGTGGAAATGTTGGTGAAGAGAATCACATGGCTTTAAAACCGTTTTCAAAAAACCCCAAAAATTATGTGTGCTAAGATTGTCTTCCTAACGGGGTATTATCTTTGTTTTAGATGCGTTGGATCAAGTGAGTCATGCAAAAATCCAAAAGGCCAAATACTTTTTCAGGACTGGGAGAAAAAGTTTGGTGGCCTACACCCTGGAATGGCCAAAATACCTTCAACTATTTCCGGAGCATGAAAAACCATTGTTGTATGTAGGGCCTATAATTTTGTAGCCAAGACTTGATCTGGACAATTTCTTTCTAAGTAGGTTCATGGATCATAGGTCACCTCATGTTCTTCCTCTTCTCTCCGTTCCCTTCACATGAATGATCATGTGGATGCACATGGTTCAGGTCCTAACCACTCCTTTCCTAACTTTAAATTAGCCACTCTTAAGGGTGTCAACCATCATATCGCTGCCTCATGTTCTTCCTCTTCTCTCCGTTTCCTTAACATGAATGATCATGTGGATGCTAATATGCACTTGGTTCAGGTCCTAACCACTCCTTTCCTAACTATTAATGTAGACACTTTTAAAGTGTCATCCAGCAAGTCTGAAATTTGAATCGCTACCACCTGCAATCCTGTTCTCTATTGTTGCGGCCTGCTATGTAACAGAAAAAAAGAAAGAGATGAAAGGGGACCCACTTGCTCTTCTTCCTTGCTTCCCTCCTCTCCCTTTCTTTCTCTGTCTTTTGTTCTTTTCCTTCATAAATCATGATCATACTTATTATTTAGCATCTTGAATGAAATTATGCTCCAATTAATTGCGTCCATCATTTTCTTCTTTTAATGGCAGCTCTGTCTGTAAAATCAAATGCAATAATCATACCGAAATCTTCCTTAAGCAAAATCTATCCTATAATTCTAACCTTAATTTACCAAAGTGAACAAATCATGGATGAAACAAGATTACAGGTGCAGAGATTTCCAAGTCGGAATATTTACATTCGGGAGTTAAAAGAATAGTACTAATATATGTACTTTTTGTTTATTCCTTGAGGTTTCATTAGATTCCAATATGATCGTCACTGCTTTTTCTTTAGCATTTAGTAGTGTTTTGCATTTCCATCAGCAATCAAGGACAGCAGTGCAAATCCTGTATATATGCAAAGATAAATTTAGTAACACAGTTAAAGGAGTAAGGAAAATTCCTAAAGTGAAGAATGTGGCATTTCACTTTGTAGATGATTTTTAAAGAGGCAACAAAAAAGAAAGTTAAATGTAGGGAAGGTGTTGCCCCCCCACCCCCCTTTTCTCTCCCCTCTAATCTTTAAAGCTAGCAAATTTGGCAGGGAAAGTGAGTCATTGATGAATGTTTTGGGGTACATTCTTTCTGCTGATCCACTTGCCACCCCACTATCAGACCAGCAGGAGATAGAGCTGACAGAGGTTGGTTAGGCTCCATGACATGAAAACACTTCAACTACACTGCCTTGTCCTCGTGATAATGTTCTTAATGGTGCCCTTGTGAACCACTAAAAATGTTTCATTGTATACTACTATTAACTTCATGTTTGAAGCTAGTTTCAGCACATCAAAGAATTATGACCATACATATTTTACATACATATTTATAGCTAATGTTGCTAATTTTAACTCTACTGCGGCTATAAACATAACCTCAAAGGGGGGTGGTGCAAAGTTCTTATAGCTAATGCCTAATGGCTAATTGGGTTAACTCTTTAACTGCGTGCTATAAACATGAAACCTCACTTTAAACGCTGCTTGAAGATGTTAAAAAAAAAAAAAGAGGATGAGAGTAAATGATTAATTGTTGAGCCAAAGAGATATTAATCTAGGCTGGCTTGGACCCTAAGTGAGAAATAATAATTATTTCTTATACAAATGATCATTATGTCATAACAGAATTAAGGTTGTAAAAAAAAAATTGTTTTCATCTCACTATCTTCCATGAATCAGACCAAGCACAAGAAAAAAAAGTAGGAGTTTGTGTTATTTATTGCATAGGCATAGCAAAATGATTTCAGGAAAATAAGTCTGTGTAATTTTTAGGCCTTTTCGGCATTTTACGAGGTCCACATAAAAATGAAAAAGTTCACGGCTAGGCTGGAATCGATGGCGATGGGCTAGTATAAATCACGTCATGTGAGCCATTGAAGCCTAAAACACAGAAAAATATTTCCCTAGTTGATGGGCCATTAAGGGAAGTTGTCTGGCCTATAATCAATCAGGAGATTCAGGACAGATAAGGGCGCACAGCTTTACGTCAGGATTACCTCTTCAAAGTTCAAACCCATTTCCTGATGTTAAAGTTGGGCTCAGCCTTATCAGATTCTGAACCAGACTTGAGCTCACACATGTAAGACAAGGCGCCTTTTTCTTTTTCATTTTTGCTTTATCCATCCGCAGATATTTTTGAGCTTGCATGCACCAAACCTGGAAAATAGAAAACACAATTCACTGTTCACCGTTGAGCAATTCAACTTATTATAAAAGGATAAAGGACTAAAACACTGTTTCTACTTAAAAACGTGATCACTTTTATGAACTGTTAACATGTAAATCTATGGTAAACTGTAAAATAAAACCATAAAAAAAACCCACATCTTCATTTTTTTTTTTTTCACTTTGAAAGGTTGACAAATACCCTAATTAATTAAGGTGGTGCGTTAGATTCGAAAATCAATTCCATACCAACTGATACTCTAAAGGAACTTGTCAAAATGCTGGGAACAAAATTCAAAATGGGTCTTTGGTCTCTGTCCCTGTTAGTTGCTTCTTGGGTGGGACAGAAATGGATTCAAAAACTAATATTCAGATTCAACTCTGATCGTACATTCTTAAAACCGCGTATTAGTTCAGCTGAGCAAAGTCTTTCCAGAGTCTTCAAATCAATTAAATGGGTCAGCTTCTCTTTTCTTTTCCTGACAAATATTTACTTTGACAAGCCGTCTTCTTCCATTCAAACTTCTTCAAGTGTTCCATACGTTACAAGGTTCCTGGATTAGTTTGCATAATCCGGCCACACTCTCCAGTGAGCCAGGATCCAGGATTCTATGTTCCAACAATCTGGAAGCAAGCAAATTAATTATGTGTTTAACATGGTGAATGATCAATTCATCATTAGTAATAATAAGACAAATTGTTCAAAGATCGAGATGGTTCAAGTAAATCATTTAACTTTGGATTAATTGAGGCAGTGAGATTTTTTTATATATATAAAGATGTTGTAATTTGAAGATAAAGAAAATTATAAAAATTAAAATTAAAATTAAAATTGATTAAATATTACTTTTTAAAAAAATTATATAAATCAATTGATTTCACTATTTTAAAACACTAATAAGTAGCAAGCCAGTAGCTTAAGTCGGTTTTCATATCAATTTTTTGGAAAATATTTTAACTAGTTGTTCATTTTAATTAGTGTAATAGTAATAATAATAAAATTTATTAAGCATTTAATTTTTTAATTCTTTAAATCTTTCTTTCTTAAGATGAAAATGCACTAATAAAGATAATAATAATAATTTAAAGGCATATTTACGCAAATTAACTTAAAAGGAAACTGTTGACTTTTGGATTTGTTTCATACAAATATGCCAAATGAAATTAATGACTTTTGATTATTAAGCAATTTGAGTTTGTTTTTTTCAATTGTTTAATACGAGTATCGAGCCAAATAAAATTGTTGATCTTTGGTGGAATGAATTTTTCTTTGAATTAGACTTGTAATTGAATCGAATAAAATCAATATTTAAAAATATTAAATTGAATTTAAAGTTTATTATTTTAAATTTAATTCAAATTTAATTGAACTTTAATTTTCAAATTAAAGTTTGATTTGAGATAAAAATTAAATTATTTAAATTTATTCAATTATATTTTTTATTAAATAAAAAATAAATTTAATTTTTATATTTGACTTTAAATCAATTATTTATATTGAAACTTGAATTATATACATACAAAGATAAATAATATTTTTTAAATTAAATTAAAAATATATATTAAAATATAAAAACTCAATTAAATTTACAAATTATTCAAATTAAATATTAAGATATTTAAACTTAACTCACTTAATAAATCAAACTACTCAAATTTAAAATTAACTTAATAAAAATTAATTAAAATTAAAAATTTATTCAGATCAATAATTTATGAATATTAATATATTATTTATATCTTTACTTTAAAATTTAAAATCCATCATCAAATTTTGACACATTTAAAATTTGAAATGCAATAACAAATTCACAAACTCAAAAGCTTTTTAAACCCCAAAATTTATAATCTCTTTTGCATGGAAATTTACGTTTTCAACCCAAGTCATTATAAAGAGGATTTGTCTTATTTTATTGTAATTAGTATCGTTGACTAAGAACATTCCGGAGGCTCCAAAAGAAAAAAAAAAAGAAAAAAGTTGATCTATGTTCTTATAGATCCACCCCCCTAAGCATCTTGAACTTCAAAATCCATCAAATCAAAGAACCTTAAAACGTTTTCCTGGAAACTTCACAACTCCCAACAATTAGGCCGTGGAAATTGTATTCTGGTTTGGGAAGGGCTACAATCGAGAACATGTAAAAACGGTCCAACCAATTGCAAGTACATCGACGTACCGGCTGTCCGAATTGAAAGCAAATATTAACTGATCGAACTGAGGAGACAATGCCAGCTTGGTTGGCCAGTTCTGTCGTCAAGGCTGGAAATAGACAAATATGATTAACTGCTGGGACATGGCTGCTTTGCGGATCATGATTTCTAATCCTCAAACTTTAATGACCCTACTTTACTTATCAGATGCTGTATAAAAAGAAAACAATTAGATGGTTTTCTGTCAATCTCCCTTGAATGCGAGACCAGTCAGATTCAATCTATCATCGTCTTAGCAGCAAGTAATTAAATCAAACACTTAGGGATGTTTGTTTAAAGTCATTTTGGTTCCTATTTCCAGCATCATACTTCGTTAACAACACATGTTATGTTCCAAACTGGAAGAGTATTGGACCTTATTTAGCTAATTTTTCTCTCGTCTCAACCCTTTCATTAATGCTGCCTGCTCTCCGTCTCTTTCAAAGTGTTTCTTTTTTTTTTTCCTGTAATTTTGGATCATTTGGCAAAATCTTTCAAGATCCATCCAAACCAGAAAATTATTCTCCCCCATAAAAACTTGTCATTAAATTTCTTGTATTCAGCAAAAAAAAAAAAGTAAAAAGGATTAAGAAATTCGGTGCATTTGAAATTGCATGTCCACTAATTTGTCTCCACGCAGCATCCATTTCCATCCATAGCATAAGAAAAACAATTACAAAAGTAATAGACATGATCTATATTAACATGTTTAATTACTAGCTATGAACAGGACAAAACTTGGATGGGAAAAAAAATGATCAGTAATAAGGAATCGAACAATTCAAATTGATTAAGAAGAGAAAGTCTCCCTCTTTGCCTAAAGTCTTCAACTCCTTTAAAACCCCCATCTTCTTGAACCTCCCCCTCCTTCCTTTCTCATGATTTATAGCCCCCAAAACCCTTCAAGGCTGAAACCTCATAACCATTCTCAAACCCAACAAATAATGTCCCTCCAACGCCACCATCACTCTTCCTCCTTCCCTTCTTGCTTCCGCCCCTCCGGTACCAGTGAAAACAACCATGTACCGCCGCCGCAAACCTCAGGTAAAACCAACCTTGCTACAAGTCTCTACCACACAAATCTAGGCCTTTTCTCACTCACCTGGTCCCATAGCTTCCTTGGTCACTCTCTCCACCTCCACCTCCACCCTTCCTCTGATTGCTCTCCCTCTTCTCCTCTATCTCTCTCTTCCTCCCTTTCCTTCTCCACCCTCAATTTTCATCTCCGTATCAAACCTTTTATTTTTTGGAAGAAACGTGGATATAAAAAGCTCAGCAGCGCCAAGGTCCCTACTGTCCAAGTCTTCTGGGACCTTTCCAGCGCCAAGTTTGGATCTGGGCCTGAACCCGACTCCGGATTCTATATTGCTGTTGTGGTTGATGGTGAAATGACGCTTCTTGTTGGTGATTCTACCAAAGAAGCTTATGTCAGAACTAGAGCTAAAAAGCCTGAGAGAAGTCAAGCTCTTGTTTTGAGAAGAGAAAACGTATTTGGGAACAGAGTTTACAACACAAAAGCCAGATTTGGAGGCAAAAGCAGGGAAATTTCCATTGATTGTAGGGTAAACGAGGACGCAAAGCTGTGTTTTAGCGTTGATAACGAAAAGGTATTGCAAATAAAGCGACTTAAATGGAAATTTAGAGGCAATGAGAGGATTGAAGTAGATGGGGTCTCAATACAAGTCTCATGGGACGTGTATAACTGGTTGTTTGATCAGGATTTGAACAATGGACATGCAGTTTTCATGTTCAAGTTTGAGAATGAAGGCTCTGAAATTCTTGAAGAAGATCACCAGCAGGACGGGGCTGAAGAAGTAGTGGATCCTTTCAACGAGAAGAACGGGATCGTCTTGTGGCAGCAACCTTTATTTAGTTTCGGCATGAATGGAATAGAGTGGAAAAAGATGAGGAAAAGGTTGCTGAGGACCGCTAGAAGCTCATCCTCTTCTTCAATTTCGATGTCTTCAGCTTCCTCAGGAGGCAGCTCTTCCGTAACGGAGTGGGCAAGCGTGGAAGAGAGTGAGTTAAGTGCTCGCTCTGGCTTCTTTTTGCTTGTCCATGCCTGGAAAAAGTGAAGATTTTTCCTTGTCATGGTGCTCTCCTACAATCCTCTAATCATTTCTGGTAATGTCGCTATTCTATTTCTCACTAACCTATTTGTTCTTGAACATTATTACAATAAGAAAGTTACATTAGGAGAAAGAAATTCGAGAGAGAGATAGATGTATACATAATTAGATCTAACCATTTCTAATTTATCTGGAAATCATTGTAATTGTTTCTTTGTAACTTTGTAGTGGTATATTTGATAGTCCTGTTCGAGCCCTTGGTTGTAAACTTGTAAATTGTAATAAAAGATGCCATACAGATTTAATGAGCAGAAGTATTTGTTCCTTAATTTTGCTTTTCTTGTGCATCATTTTGTTCCTAATTGCTGTATGCCTTGTTCTGCTTTTCCACTCATTTTACTTCTATGCCTGGCCTTAGCTGTTTGATTTTGATTGGAACAGTATCTGTAATGGGAAATTTACAAGTTTCCAACATAGGACAAGATGCATGTGCGGGTGGGTCTCGTTTGTTTGTGGTGAGCTTTGGATCCTATCACCAGCCAAGCAACCGTCAACAGGGTTGACCCTGTCCTGGATCTCCGAAACAGAAAGTTACTTCGTCGGTCGGTTACCTTATATTTTAAGATTATTCAGGAACATAGCAATGTCGTACTTGATCAAGATACGGCACCGAAGGTGGTGAGGACTGGCTAAACTGTGTCAGGGTTGACTGTATGCCACATGACTGTTCTGCCTTTGTTTGTGGAAACCCAATCAATCTCGTGGATTTCTACCCACAGAGTTCTCACCTTAGAAAAAGGATTCTTTTTCTTTTGATTGAAGTATAAATTACTCTGGTCTTTGTTAAAGGAGATGACACTGTACAAATTTCTTGGTCGGGACTCGGAATTAGGCATAAGTTCATCTCCAAATTTTTGGTTTGAAGGAAAAGCCTATCTTGACTTTGGTTGGATAGTAGCACATATGCAAATATAATATGAGAATCTAATACCCCAAAGTTTTTTCTTTAAAGAAAGAGATGCCAACTGTAAAGTATTATATAAATAATTATAGGGAACATCCTAATATTTTAGTAATAAATATAGCCTTTTTGTTATTTTCTTCTAAGGTTTTGTTTCACTTGCCAACTGTTGGAACATTAGCAATAACATGGTGGTTCAAATTCCCAACTCAACCCTAATTTATACCGATTTATCCCGTTAATAAGGAGTTGAATCATTTTCTTTGTCTGTATATGAACAATGTGGATATCATTTGAAAATGACCCGCTTTAGATAGAATTGAAACCTCATGACGACGGTATTGATTACTACGAAAATATTCGCAGAAACATGGCCTTTCTACATTGGATCTGCTTTAGCCCTAAAATCAGTGGGCCGATCTTCACTTGATTGAAGAAGCCTTTTTTCTAACCAACGCCGACGAGAAAACCTGTTTCCATGGAGTAAACCACTCCAACTTCTTTTACCCAATGTTGACAAAGCACCTTCCTCGAATTCATGATAATAAAAGCGACCAAGGTCACCGCCACACCAACTAGTACAAGGCAGGGCCATCTAATCATTCAAAATGAACGTTAGCCGAGTGCTGTTTCATGGGTCCGATTCTTTACACAAATACTTCGCCCTATTACCTAACATCTGACAGTTTTAACCGAACACGGTTTTTACATTTACTTTTAGAATCATTTGGCAAGTGGAGAGCAAAAGTGTGAAAAATAGAACTCTTTCCATTCCACTGGAAAAAATATAACCGCTGCCAAATTCCCAAGCAGCTGTTTCCACACCCATCCAAAAAGATCAGCTGAACCACATGGGCAGGAGAAAGGATTTGCATTTGTTAACCTCATCTATTGTTGACTTCCAAAATTTAAAACCTTTAACTGTACCACAGTCCAACTAACTTAAAGCTTCAAGCTTAAACTTGAGATTGAAGAAGTATGAATCAAAGATGATGATGATGATGATGATGGAAGACATCGCCTTTGTCTACTACTCATTGCAGTGCCTGGAGGACAAGATGCCAATGAAGGATTAGAAGAAGATACCAACCTACTTGAATGGCTTCTCAACTTCGTCCTCTTCTATAGCCTTCCGAACCTTTCCTTCTGATCTAACTTGGCAAACCTCGTCTCATTCAACCCTGCTGGGAGAACACAGTAGTAAAAGAAACCTATCCATTCATCACAAGCAACATCATCATTTGTTTTAGGCAGAAAGCCTAGAAAATCACCTAGAACTAAAGCAGACTATCAAAAAATCATTTTTTTAATGCTGTACTACTAAACTTCAATATATAAATAAATATATATATATTTGTACCATCTTCTCAAGAACCAATCAGATCATCTCTGAATTAAAATTTAAAAGGAAACAAATAATGACAAAGGAGGCAGTTGATTTCTTACCCATCCTAGCAAGACGATTAACCCAGCGTGGAGTTGGCTTCCCTGCCGACTGGATAGTGGATACGCACATCATTGCAAAAATGGTTGCAGTTCTTGGTGATGAGATGGTATGTGTTTTCGGAGTACTCTAGCAAGGAAATTAATAATAGATTTTATAATTTGGATTAGCTAAAAATTCAAGGAAATTAACACATGGGTCCCCTTAGTTTCCAATAATTATTCCAAGTGCCATTCCTTCTACTTTTATTTTGGTTTTCTGTTTGAGTTGGGCATGATTTAATCCTTAAATTATTTATTTTTTATAATTTGATATTTATTAAAAATTTATTATTAGATATTCAAATTTTATTTCTGTCAAGCATTTTGTCTCACACATTAATTTTGCTAAACTTAAATTAATGTGGCAAAAAAAAACAAAAAAACTAATCATATTGGCTACTATTGGCTTTCTTGGGAAGTTTTTGCAGCAATTACCAACTTACTGCATTATATTGAACCTCTTCTGCTATATATGTTGCACGAAGTGACTGGATTTCATTTTCACTTGTTTCTAGGGCATAATAAATCCGCAATTCTGAAGGGTTCCTGCATGATTTGTGGAGCGTGTATCTTGGCAATTTTATCCGCTTACCTTTTGCTTTTGAAGCAAGTTTGAGCTAGAGCTTTTGAACTACAGAGCAAGAATAATAAGCTATTCAATAGTTAAGGTTATATTGTATTCTACACTGTTCTTGCATTTAAAGGTTTTCGTATCACTGATAAGTGAGATGTATGCAGATGAGTCGAGTCTGGCAGTCAAATTACACAGGTTTTTTTACTGTTATTAATGAACCAAACAGGATAAGCTGGGAAGTAATTTCAATTTCATATGCTTTTGGGAAAGATTGATTAATAATAGCATTGTGGTATATTTCTTGTGCACTTATGCTTCATTTCTACCATGGGGATGAATTATGTTCTGTAGGTAACAAACTTGCAAAATTTGTTCATGAATTACGATGGAATTGTGCAGCTGATGATGAATTGGCTCATGACATGGTTTTGATTTGGCTTTAGTTGATGAATTTCATTTCTTTTTGAAGTAATGCAGCTTCTTTCATATCGGCTTTTATAATGTTAATATTATACTTCTATACGTACTGCCAATGAATTGATGATCTGCACCCTAAAATCAAGCAATGGCTTAAGGCATTAGACATTGGGGGGGGGGGGTTATTTCAGTTATTCCATGGCTGCCATAATCTTGGTCTTTTCCACTCACCATTTTGGGGATGGCAAAGATAAACAAACATATCATATAGGAAAAATATTGAAGTGATGTCGTCCCGAAAGGGTTTTCTTTTTGTTTTCTGTTCAGAAATTGGAGAGATGTTGTCCAGAAGGGGTTCTTAACATTGAAGCAAAAATTCATCATCTCAACTTAGAAAAGATGGATGTTGGGGTCCCTGTTAAAGAAAATAAGGGGAAAAAGGTTCTTTATTTCATAACAAAGAGTTGCATGTTCTACGATGGTCCAATAATTTCTTTGCCCATAACTGTTAATTGTCTCCTTATCTGGATTTAAGCCCATTTTCCACAATGCTGGTCCCCAGTCGTGACCAACACCAACAACGATCATTTGTTCAAGTTGAAATTTTAAAACTTCAACCCAATACTAACTTTAAAAAAAAAAAAACTTCCGCCCAATACAAGTCTAAATTTCTAATCCAGGGCCTGGTCCCAGAGATTAAATGTCGCTGTATAATTAAAACTGAGCCGTCAGGATAGCTTGCTTCGACCAAGAAAGTAAACGTGGATAAATGAAAAACCAAATTATCAATATATATATATAATATATATATATATATATCATCTGCATAGATGATTCCAGCTACGAAGCTAGATTGATTAATGGCTTTTATTATCATAAAACCAAATCTTTCTTAGATTGTGGGATCAGTCAGTGAAAGTCACTCAGTTCACACTCCTTCACAAATGACAAAATCATACCCGCTGTCGCTAAAAAAAATGAAAAAAATCAATCAGAAGATCTAAATTTGCAATTGGGCCACCAATAATTGAGTTCTAATACTCCAGAAAAATATATGGCTGAAATCATATATATCTTCTCGTGAAAAAAATGATATCTTCTAAATTCAATGTAATTTTTGCAAGATTTCATGTTATAGTATTTATTTATTATAAAATATGGGAATCCACCGAAACTTCATTTAGTAAATTCTGGTAAATTTCTGTCAATTTGAAACCGGTTTGCGACTTAAAACATTTGTTGATTGAGTGGAAAATCCTGGATCCAAGTACTTGCGAAGCAGCTTGAACAAAAAAGAGTATTGGAGAAACGGATTAACAGATCCAAGTAAAAAAAAAACAATGAAGAAACAAACTCCAAAACTTCTCTATGATCAAAATATACATGACAATTGCTTCCAAAGAAATTAAGAGTAAACAAAATCTTAATCAGAAAATATATATGTTCTTAAAAATATAATACTCAATTAGAGCTTGAGGGATAGGTCAACCTTATGTATATCTTCCTGCTTAGTCTTCAGACCACCACCATCAGACCACCAACAATTACCAATCACCTCATCAGCTGGAGAACCCATCATCGTCCTCGTCATGTTGAACCTACCGATACTTGCTCGGGAGGTTGGTCCTGTTGCAATTGCATGGGAATTCTCCATTGATAACTTCCCTATTGCCGGTTGTTGGTCAATAGGAGGCCTAGACCAACTATGGTGTCCATACACATTTCCAAACCCAGTTGATGAAGAAATAAGAGAAGGTTTATGGATCATCGAATGCACCTGGATTCCCAGAGATCTATTATATGCACCGTGTATTGGAAGAGAAGCCAAGCTAGAATAATGGTTGTGATGAAAATAGGGGTGCCCAAAAGCTGTGGCTGAGGCTGCTATATGAGCTCCCATCCTTTGTCCTCTTTTTGCTAGAGTCCTTTCTCGCTTGTGGGCATTTTGGTGTCCCCCAAGAGCTTGTGAACTGTAGAATTTTCTTTGGCAATAGTTGCATGAGAAAACCCGTTGCTCACCATCTGTAGGTTGGGGAGTTTCTGGTGCGGTACAATCAGATGAACCTGCTGAGTTCAAGGAATCAATAAGATTGAGTTCTTGTTTAAACCCAAGATCATCACAATCACTTGTAGTTAGCTTTAGTTCTAGTTGAAGACTGGGTTTTGCCTCCTGTTCTCGATCTTTGAGTGCTTCATCTGAACCTGGAGCGCCCTTTGGTGTAGAAACGATGCATGAGGTACTCTCAGAGGGACTAGTTTCCTTCCTCAGAGACTCCATGAGAAAGATGGATTTTTCTCTAGTCTCACATACACTCACCTTTTTTGGTAGACGATGAAAACTTTTTGTTGATAGCATAAAAGAATAAAATCCTTTTTGTTGAAGGGAACCAAATGCTTTTGTGTGCTATATTATTCTATTTATGAAAAATTATGAATTATAAATTTATTAGTTAATGTGTTATGTAAAAGATTATTTGTTTATCATTTGTTATTATTTGAAATTTTTTATAAATATTATATTAATTTTTAAATTTATAATTAATGTATTATATTAAAATTTTTTAAAATTTATAAATTATATTAAATATTTTATTATAATTTAAAAATCATTTGTAACAGTAACATTAAGAGTATGTCGGCTTAATGCACTATATACCTTACAGTATTTTCTTTTATTTAAAAAAGATTGGTAGGTTTCTTTGTCACTCGCTAGCTTTAATTGGAATTTTGGAACTCCACCATGTACTTGTTTCTATCCATTACATAACATAAACAGAATAGTTTTTTCTTATATCCTATCACTACATTATTCCTTGTTTGACTATACTGGCCGCATCACTAGTCACTATTGCTATGCAAGGGATACAAATTTTTCAGGTACCAAATCTCCCTGCAACACTATCAGGTTCATGCTGGAGTTCTTTTTCTTTTCCTTTGCTAATATTATGCTTTTGAGAGTGTCAAAGTGCCCCAGTCATGGGTAGACAATCTGATCTCTTTGTATTGTGGACGACACAACTCTCCTATATATGTACTTCAACTCCATCAACCAGGGGCACCATGTCCCCAGCCAGTTACTTTGAGCGTCCACCTCTACACCTTTTGTGGGGCTTTTTTTCTAATTTCTTGGATTTTTTGCCCCACTCTTTTGGTCTTTCCTTACTTTATTACCTGCTATTATTATCCAAACAAACGCACAAACACAAGTGCTTACATATAGAAAAATGTTTCCCTGATTTGATGGAACACTAATTGGCGCATTGGCGGGGAAATGGGCATCGCCATCTCAGATTAATACACTGTCTAGTAGCTCTGGCTAGCTAGTAGCTAGATCCGCAGATCATCAGTTAATTACTTGAATATAATGCTGAACGAAATGAACGAATTTGGACTTGACTCAGAGAAATCAATCCAGTTTCAAGTGCTTCTGTTGAAAAAGTGAATCAAACTTATATTTCTACCACAGCTGAACCCTGAAGCCACCACCACTAGTATAAATAAGAAGAAGAATAATCTTTTCTCAGGCACAAAAAATGTCAAAGGCCACTTGAGGTGACATGTAAACTGCAAAGAAATTCCCCCATCCAGGCCATCTTACATGTCAAAAATCTAACTTAATTTGTCGTATTTGGAGCAAATTAATGGTAGGGGCCAGTGACAAATGGCCGACAAAGAAATGGTGATGCTGATGTGGAGCCCTCATGCTATGATGTGCCATCTTATTTAGATTATATAACATGAGCATATTAAAGGATTAACAATTTTACATAATAGTTATGATAACTAATTATTACAGAAACAAATGTCATTGAATATGTCGTCCAATGAATTCACAAAGATGGTTTGACAGCAAGCAATGGGGCAGATAAAATAATTGGTAATTTACTTTTAAGGCTAGTAATAACAAACAACCCACATGATTTTATAGGCAATCACTTTGTCTAAAAAATGAACCGAAAATATTTTTCGTTCTCAATTCATATTTCAAAGCTACATTTTAAGAATTCTAAAAAAAAAAATCAAATATGAAGTGATGTAATTACTATTCAATGGACAAATGAGCTTTCTTTACCTTTGATACTACAATTTATGATGTATACATGATCTAAGTTCTCCTTTTCTTTCTCTCCCCAAATTTACTGTTTATTAGACATAATAATCACAAGTGGGACCCCCTTTAATTGTAATTGAAAATAAATAAATAAATAAAGAAACTAGTCTTTACTCTACCCAATAATCTGGAAATAAGTTCCCAATCTGGGTCAACTCAGATTCTCATGATTTGGGCCCAAAGTTCTTTACAAACAAAGTCCATCTACAATTCAGCCAGATAGAAGTTTAGCAAATTTACCTTTTTACTTGGGTCTTGGGAGTTATCAATAACTTCATGTAACCTGATGATGGTTCGGACTTGGACACAAGATCATGGTAACATATTAACGTTATGTTTAAATAAATATTAATAAAAATAATATTTTTTTTAAAAGATACATATAATTTTTATTTGAATAATTAAAATTAATAAAAAAAAAGAAAAAAAATTTAACAATCATTGTTTGGATAATAAATGAAAAAGAAAGGAAATGATTTATTATAATAATTTTTTAAAATTATAACCTTTTATTGCTTGTAATTTTAGAACATTCTTGGATCATGATATATTTATTGTTTTATCTGATCTCACAGTTGCTGCTATATTAATAATTTTTAATCAAGTGAAATAAAAAAATATTTTACAAATATGCATTGATAGATTTTGAGCTAATCAGTCATTTCATAAACTTAAAAAATATTTATTCATATTCAACCATTCATCAAAATCAAATCATTAAAAAATTATAAAGAATTTTTATATTGAAAGAGATATGTGAAACCCACTTGAAAAAGTAGATGATTTTAAAAAAATTATAGGATGATTGTGATTTGCTTAGATTTTTTTATTAGGTTTTTAGTATTAATAAAAAGATGGACATAATAGTCTTTTTATAAAAAAAAATATTTTTCAACTTTCTTTTCCCTAGCTTTTCCTCCAAATTAAAGTATTAAAAAAATTGAGTTTACAAGGGAAACCAAAGGTTATTTGATTTCCATCTCTTTCTTTTTCTTTAAATTAAAAATTTATCCAAACAAAAGAAGGGAGTTTTGTTTTCTTTACATTTCTTTACTTTACTTTCCTTTCTTTCCTCTCCCTTCAATCCAAACATATTATAAGGGAATATCATAAAAAGGAAGGGGAAAGTGTCAGGGAGATGAACCACACTTAGAGTTACGAAAGCATACCAGAAAGTTTATATATATATGTTAGACACCATTTGAGCTCAAAAGCTTAAGCTATTGGGTTTTTGGGTCTTTTATGTATATATAAGATATCTTATTTAGATTTTTTAGTGATGTGAGATTCTTTACTCATATGTAAATCTTATCCCAATAATCTCTCTCATTTATTTGTGAGTTCTAATCAAGTCTTACCTCGACTCTTTCGCGCAAGTAAGTCTTATTAACACCTCTTTTTGGGTCAGGCAACCTTATGTTTTGGATGGTCTCAGTGCACCTTAGGCTCAGCATTCAACCTTGCCTCTCTGTGGGTCTAGGTTGTCTCAATGCCCTTCAAACTTAGACTCAATCATAGCACACAACTTTGCTGCCAAGGTTGTTTCAGTGCCTCTCAAGGTTGGACTCAATTATAGCATACATCCTTACAGCTTAGGTTGTCTCAATACTTCTTAAGCTTGGCCTCAATCACGGCCTTAAGCTTACACTCTATCACAAATTGACTTAAAACATCTGATGCTGGGAATTGATGTTTAAAATATGAAGATTAACCGCAAACAAAAAAACTCACAAAAAAGATAACTCACAAAAATTTGAATAATGGTAGAATATGATTATTGGATTAAAAGAGATAAAAGTTCACCACCAAGACTAAAAACTAAGTGATACAGAAACACCACCCTAAGAGTTCTAATTAAGAATACAAAACAATAAAAGTTCACCACTCTAGGAAATTTATCTAAAAGATACAAAACTTAAAGAACAATATAAAATATTACGTAAAGTTAAAGAAAACTTTATTTGCCTTTTACCAAAGAATAATAGAAAATATATAAGCTAGAAACATCCCTTCAAGCATGAAAACTTTCAGATTGTATTGCTAGAATCATGTCTAAAATTAAGAGATTTGCATGTAAACTCATTTACTCCTGCAGATTACATAATAATGAGTCTGACCATATTCTCATTCATATTCATGCTCTTCTTTTTTAGCTAGTGTGAATACAATCTTTCTATTTTAGCTTATTTTAGTTTTGTATTTATTAAATGAATGGATTGGCCTATCTTATTTTTTGATAAGTCTTTCTTAGTCTTAGCTTAAGTTGTAAGATATCTTGACACTCTGATGCCAATCTCCTCTGGTTGAAAAATACTTGTTTTTAAGTTTGAATTAGTTTTCTCTCTATGGTAGGATGACAAATCAGCAACATTGAAGGTGGAAGATACTCCATAAGTGTCAGAAAGCTCTATCTTGTAGGCATTCTTTCCAATACGTTGAAGAATTCTAAATGGACCATCTGCCTTATGTTATAATTTACCAAACTTTCTTGGAGAAAATCTCTTTTTCTATAAGTTATTCCACACCAAATCAACTTCTTTGAACTCTATATATTTTTTATGTTTATTTGTTACATTTTTATATTTTTTATTTTGCTGTAAAATCTTAGCTCTCACTTGTTCATGCAATCGTTGATATCTTTAGCCATTTCTTCTATATCTTCCCTAAATTGTTGATTAGTGAGAGAAATACTGACTCTAAAGGGCTGATTAGATTCTTACTAGACATCATCTCAAAAAGGCTGTAATCAGTGGTTTGGTTTGGTGAACGATTATAGGTAAACTTTATTTAAAGTAAAATAAGATCTCACTGCTTGATATTTTTTTTCACATAACTTCTTAGAAGGTTGTCTAAGCTGCGATTGGTTACTTTTGTTTACCATCTATTTGTGGATGATGAAAAGAACTATACTTAAGATTAATGCTAAGCTTATTTCAAAAGATGCACCAAAAATGACTAAAAAACTTAAAATCTTGATCAAATACCATAGATCTAAGAACTATATGTAACCTCATAATTTTTTTGAAATACAGATTAGAAACATGAGAAGCATCTATAGTTTTGGTATAAGGAACAAAATGGGCCATTTTGAAAAAAAAGTCTACAACCACATGATGGAGTCTTTATTCTTTTGAGTTCTAGATAATCCAACTACAAAGTCAAACTAACATCCTTCCAATGAGCATTATGCATAGGTAGTGGAGTATATAATCTAGTGTTTTGACTATGACTCTTGGTAATGTGGCACACTTTTCATCGTTTAAGGTGTTTCATCACATCTTCTTCATTCTCGACCAATAAAACCTGTCTTACAAAAG